AGATTAGGAGCTCTGGTAGCATAGTGCCTAAGGCACTTGACTGCTAACCAGAAGGCTGGCAGTTCAAACCCACCAGCCACTCCTCGGAAGGAAGGTTTGGGCAATCCTACTTCCGTAGTGATACTGCCTCAGAAACCCAAGGAGGGGTCGCTATGAGTCGGGGCTGACTGGATGGCATATAACAACAACAAGAAGATTAAAAGGCAGGATGTACTGATGGAGAACTTGAATTGAGAGTCCCTGAGTCACTGCAAGACCACCCAAATAATTGGCCCATACCGTTTCCTTCATTTCTTGTCAGTAAAAGTACAATGACAATGTTTGTTCTTCCTTAAATTATAGAAATATTATGAAGGAATTAGATACTAACATAGAGGCCATTACTATTTAGACACCACTGCTACTGAGTTGATTATGACTCATAGCAACCCCTTTGGGTTTCCAAGGCTGTACATTTTTATGCAAGTTGATTGCCTCATCTTCCTTCCACAGAGAGGCTGATGGGTTTGAAATGATGATGTTCTGGTTAGCAGCCAAATGCCTTACCCACTATACCACAAGAGCTCCTTTTACAGAGCTTTCAAATTGTACATATGCCTTGGAAATGTGAAAGTATTAATTCAAGTGATTGGAAATAGAAAGAGGTAAGGCATTTGGCTGCTAACCAGAAGGCTGGCAGTTCAAACCTACCAGCCAGTCCTCGGAAGAAAGATTGAGCAATCTACTTCTGTAATGATATTGCCTCAGAAACCCAAGGAGGGGTTGCTATGAGTCAAATCCCACTCAACGGCAGTGAGTTGGGTTTGGTTTTTAGAGCTTTCCTAATTTCCAAATGTAAAAATGTGGTTACTAGGCAGTTAGGAGGGGCTTAGTTAGTGGAAAACTCAGTAAAATCCTTACAGTCAAAAAAAAAAAAAAAGAACTGTTAGGAATACTTAATTTACATCCATTCACTTCCAGTGAATGAACTACCCTCACTTCCGAAGAATGGAAAACCATAGAGATTTCAGACCAAGTCTAAAGATGATCCTACATCCTATCCAGATTTTTTTTCTTTTCAAGGGTCTGTGTTTTGTTTTGACAAATAACTTTCATGTTATGCAATATACCATGGTAAAGTTTAAATCCACTTTTTCACATTCCCAATACCATGATTTTGTTTAGCCAGGTCTTCAAACCAGCTCATTCTGTTCAGTCTCCTGCTGAGAAGGTACAATTCTACTCCAAATACACTGAATCAGAATGTGTATTTTAACAAGATCCCCAGGGGATTTGTATGTTCCCATAATGTATACTTAAGCATCACCTGGTCACCTGGGGATCTTGTTAAAATGTAAATTCTGATTCAGTATATTGGGTGGACATGCATATTCTCAGCAGGAAGTCAAACTAGAATGAACTGGTCTGAAGTCCTGAATAGAGCAACTCCCTACTTACCAGTTGTCTACATGTGTGCTCCTGCTCTCATAATGATGCTTATAGTATGCAAAACCCCAAATACACCTAGATTACTCTAAACTCAGAAGTATGTTGGGGTCACTGTTGAGACTAAAATGTTAATACTTCTTTTCACTCCAAAACCTGGAAGGTAAACATGACACAATTAGACACTATTAGAAATCACCAGTTAGTTACTTGTCTATGGGTAGTTTATTTCTAGGTAGACTCATTCTCCCTAAGTTTGAAAACCTAATTACACCCACAGTCGTTACACACCCTTGTACCATTCCTGGCAATTGATGAGTTATATCTTATTCAAACTAAGTTGAAGACATTTTAACTGAAGAATTCTAATATTATGCCATTTTTCATTTTCAATCCATTAGTACTGTATACAAATTAAATGAGTTTTAAATACTGAAACAAACCATTTACTACCTTAAACTATATTTCAGGGAGAATTGAGTTTCTTCTACAAAGTAAGCACTGATAGTCTGTCTTCAGCAATCAACTATTTGTCATATGAGGATTTGGAACTACCCTTAAAGATAATTAAGTATTTTCAAAACCTCCTACTAGAGTTCAACATCACTGATTTCCCTAGTGGGACTTAGAGAAAGTGAACAGAAACATTCTCATTTTGCAGAAGAGAAAATAAGAGCAAAAAATAAGAATTCAAGAAACATGGCCCTAGTATAGATAAAATGCTTCTATCCTCATCCTGCTCAGTAAGTAATTTTTACCTGAAAACCATCATATTTTCATGCAACTTTCCACCAATTTAAGTCTAAACATTAGTGTTTCCTTTGTCAAATCCCTAACCCTATTGTTATAACTCTATTATCTATGTACATATTGATAGAGTTTAATCTCAGGTTCAGTCCAGAATGTACAAAGTATGAATCTAGGAAAACTGGAAGTTGTCAAAAAGGAAATGGAACGCATAAAGATTGATATCCTCGGTATTAGTGAGCTG